TCATGATCTGAAATAGATGGAGAACATTGGGTTGGAGAAGGTAAATTGTGATTCAGAGATTCCAGATGGACCTTTGTAACCCCAAACCAGCAGTTTTGAACTGACTCCAGAAATGAAGCTCAATTTAGTGAGAACAAGGGAGGATCCTGGGTGGTTCCACATAAAATTGAATGTTGCCATCTTCTGCACCTGCCAGTGTGTCTGCACCTTCTTCAAGGGTGGCCCCATTAATTAGCAGTTCGCAGTAATCCAGGGATGGGCAAACTGCAGCCCCAAGGCTGCATGCGGAATCTCCTTTTCCAGGGTCCCCACCTACCCCTTTATAACTGCTGTGGCTCAAAGTCTTGCTGGATTCTGGCTATTTGGAGAAACGAAGTGTGCAAACATGGAGGGTTTTGCCAGAAAATACTGAGACCTTAAAAAACCAGGAAAAGAGAGAGAGAGAAGGAATGAGAGAGAGAGAATGAGAGAGAGAGAAGGAATGAGAGAAGGAATGAGAGAGAGAGAGAGAAGGAATGAGAGAGAGAGAGAAGGAATGAGAGAAGGAATGAGAGAGAGAAGGAATGAGAGAGAATGAGAGAGAGAGAATGAGAGAGAGAGAAGGAGTGAGAGAGAGAAAGAGAGAGAGAAAGAGAGAGAGAGAAGAGGAATGAGAAAGAGAGAAGGAATGAGAGAGAGAGAAAGAGAGAGAAAGAAGAGGAATGAGAGAGAGAAGGAATAAGAGAGAGAGAGAATGAGAGAGAGAGAGAAGGAATAAGAGAGAGAGAGAAGGAATTTATTTTTTTTATTTTTTTTATTTTATTTTTGAATTTGTATACCGCACTTCTCCCTGAGGACTCAAGGCAGTGAACAGCCAGATAAAAACATCAAATACAAATATTAAAACACATTTAAAAATATATATAGATTTGGCCCCATTAATTAAAAACGATAAGCAAAACAGAACAATTAATAAAACCCTTAAAAAGAAATTAAGCCAGCCCGGCTTGTTGAAAAAAGAAAGTTTTAAGGGCACGGCGGAAGGCACTGAGGTCATGGATTCTCCTTATCTCTGGGGGCAACTGATTCCAGAGGGTAGGTGCCCCCACAGAGAAGGCCCTCCCCCTGGGGGTCACCAGCCTGCATTGTTTGGCTGATGGCACCCCGAGGAGGCCCTCTCTGTGGGAGCGCATGGGTCGATGGGAGATTGTCGGTGGCAGTAGGCGGTCTCGAAGATAGCTAGGCCCTATGCCATGGAGCGCTTTAAAGGTGATAACCAACACCTTGAAGCGCACCCGGAAGACCACCGGGAGCCAGTGCAGTTCACGCAGGAGCGGTGTTACATGGGAGCGCCACGCTGCTCCCGTCACTACCCGCGCTGCTGCGTTCTGGAATGAGAGAGAGAGAGAAGGAATAAGAGAGAGAGAGAAGGAATGAGAGAGAAGGAATGAGAGAAGGAATGAGAGAGAGAGAGAGAGAGAGAGAGAATGAGAGAAAGAGAGAAGGAATGAGAGAGAGAGAGAGAAAGAGAGAGAATGAGAGAGAGAGAGAAAGAGAGAAAGAGAGAAGGAATGAGAGAGAGAGAAAGAGAGAGAGAGAGAAGAGGAATGAAAGAGAGAGAAGGAATGAGAGAGAGAGAGAATGAGAAAGAGAGAGAGAGAAGGAATGAGAATCACAACCCTGCCTAAGAAGTGTCCATGGACCTGAGATGGTACACCTATTAGAGTCATTGCTTCATCTTCTGAGATGCTCAGCCAGTCAAAAACTGTTGCACACAACCCCTAGCCATCCAAGGACCCAAGGAAATAATAAAGTAACGTAGTCCTTGACTTACAACAGTTCATTTAGTGACCGTTCAAAGTTATAGCAGCACTGAAGAAAGTGTCTTATGACCATTCTTCATACTTAAGACCGTTTAGCATCCCCGTGGTCACATGATCAAAATTCAGGCGCTTGGCAAAGGACTCATATTTATGACGGTTGCAGAGTCCTGCAGGGGCCACCCATCACCTGATTGTCCATGGGGAAACCAGATTCACTCAGCCACCGGGTTACTCATTTAACAACTGGAAGTGATTCACTTAATAACTGTGGCAAGAAAAATGGGGCAAAATTCACTTAACAGCTGTCTTGCTTAACAACAGAAAAGTTTAGGCTGAATTGTGGCCGTACGTTGAGAGCTACCTGTACTGGATCGTGCCAGAGCTACGAACATTTTAATCATCTTCCACTTGGAGGTTTTTTAGAAGACGGGACGGGAGTCTCATTCAGAGCCTTTGTGTATTTCATAGCTGCTAGCCTTTTTTTTTTATGCTGCAGGATCATCCCATGCCTTTGGGGAGAAATGCAAATCCCAGAAACTGAATAATCATCTGGAGACTTGGCAAAGCAAAAACAAGGGTGTTAGGCCATTCGGAGCACATCCCTTTCCCCCCTCTCTTTTGCATTTCAAAACATTTTGTAGGAATTGTTCCAGGTCTTTGTTCAGATTAATAATTGCATCATGGGAATGTCATAGTCTGCTCTCCATGTAATCACATTACGATGCAATTAACTCAAAAGAGGGTGTGAAAGAGAGAAACTGAGCCGCAGCTTCCCGAAGGAGAGAAGACAAAAAAAACAAACAAACCAGGAGGTTGGATCTTGAGAACATCTAAAGAACTTATGGAGGGTATCAGTGTCCAAACGCAAGCTTCACCTGAACAGCAAGGGTGAGATGAGAACCAGTAGTCATCTCAGGGGAGAAGAAGACCCACTCTAGAACAAGATTGAAAAACTGTGGTCCTTGGAAGTGCTCGGATTAAGGCTGCCAAAAATGGGTTGTGATTTGAGTTTTTTGGGGATGGGATGATTTAAAAAAAGAAAGAAAACATGAGGAAAAAAAGGACATTCCTCTTGTATTTCGTCAATAAGGGTGTCAAACTTCTTCCTGAGCACAATTCAACTTGGCTTTGATCTAAAACATTTAAAAGGTAAAGGTTCCCCTCGCACATATGTGCTAGTCATTCCCGACTCTAGGGGGCGGTGCTCATCTCCAATTCAAAGCCGAAGAGTCAGCGCTGTCCGAAGACGTCTCCGTGGTCATGTGGCCGGCATGACTAAACGCCAAAGGCACACGGAACGCTGTTACCTTCCCACCAAAGGTGGTCCCTATTTTTCTACTTGCATTTCTTACGTGCTTTCAAACGGCTAGGTTGGCAGAAGCTGGGACAAGTCACGGGAGCTCACCCCATTACACGGCGCTAGGGATTCGAACTGCTGAACTTGCCGACCTTTCGATCGACAAGCTCAGCATCTTAGCCACTGAGCCACCGTGTCCCTTTCTAAAACATTATGCAGTATATAAAAACATGTCTACTATTTTAATTGTCATTAGAGAATTGGGCTTAACAGAGACAGAGCCTTCTTAAGTTTGGCGCCTTATCTATAATGTTTTATTCTTCAAGAATGGCTTGTATTTTATACTAGCTTTATTTATTTTTTCCAACTCTCTTGCAAAGCCCAGCTTTATTCTGTAAGGTTGTGAATAACCCTTGAGTACTACTTTAATTGTGGACTCTTGTGTGGATTTGGGGCAGATAAATTTTATTGTTTGTCTCCTCTGGCTGCTGGTGGAGTCGTTAATTACTTCTTTTGTTGTAGTAGTTTGCTTTAGCCTACACATCTTTGAAAGTTCTTTTACTGAAAGACATGACAGAAATGTCTTCGGTTTGTCATTGTTGCTAAACAGATTTACCACTACTTCAGTAAAGATGCTTTTCCAAAAGGGAGCCACAGCCACCCAATTTGGGATCCAGACTGTCTTTCAGGACGAAATCTTAACTTTCGCTAATAGCTTGTTTGTTTTTAACCAATCATAAAATCCCACCCATCTAGAACTCCTAGGGCACCTCACCATTACAAGATAAAACAATAAAAACACAACAAATTGCATAATCTATGACTGTGAGAAAGTGCAGGAACGGGCAAGCAAAGAAAGGGATGAGAACAGATTGAGAATAGGGTTACTCATTTTATTCACCTATTCAGCTCTTGGTATCTCACCACAAGATCCTAAGGACTTTCATGTAAAGAGCCACCCAAAATCATGTCTCTGGTTCAGCTTCCCCTTGGAAACATCCTAGAGGCTGATGTGACTCTTGGTGCGAGATTTGACCCATTATTACATATTATATTGCAAACTTCATCAGAAATTTAACAGAATAACAGAGTTGGGAGGGATCTTGGAGATCTTTTAATCCAACCCTTTGTTCAAGCAGGAGATCCTATACCATTTCAGACAGACAGCTGTCCAATCTCTTTTTAAAGTGATGGAGCACCACAACTTCTTCAGGCGAGCTGTTCCACTGACTAATTGTTTTTGTTATCAGGAAATTTCTCCTTAAATCTAGCTTGGATCTGTCCTTGATTACTTTTCATTCATTGCTTCTTACTCAGGTGCTTCGGAGATTAAGCTGACCCCCTCTTCTTTATGGCAGCCCCTTAGATATTGGAACCCTGCTAGCATGTCACCCTTCTTTTCACCAAACTAGACATACCCGATTCCTGCAACTGTTCCTCATATGTTGTAGCCTCCAGTCCCCTAATCATCTTTGTTGCTCTTCTCTGCACTCTTTCTAGAGTCTCAGCATCTTTTTTTATATATTGTGGAGAACAAAACTGGATGCTATATTCCAAGTGTGGAATATTATAGGCATTATTAAAGTGGTACTAACATTTCACTTAGAGCTTCAAATTAGAGCTAGATTCATTACGCCCTTGTTAATCCAACTGAATCAGTCTAATTTAGAAGATAAAATCTATTTTTCGTTGTCCGATGAAGACAAACATGTAAAACGAAACAACTGAACAAGACAGCATGCAAGGAAAATATGAAAGCACAACCGGACAAATAATGCTGCTCATATTAGAGAGGGTGCATTGAATTGATATGAGTGCTGTAATTTTCTACGTATTTTGCTAAAACCGATGGTTGCAAGAAATGTCACAAATACAACGTGCCTCTTTGTATTCCCATTCAGCTTCATGTCTGTGCGTCTTCTGAAAAACGATGGGATGGGCTTGCAGAAGTACTCCTATATGAATGAAGACGAAGCTTGGAAGAGTTATCTGGAGAATCCTCTAACAGCGGCCACCAAGGCCATGATGAGAGTAAATGGGGATGATGACAGCGTAGCAGCCCTGAGTCTCCTCTACGACTACTATATGGTATGAAAAGCAATCGGTACAGGCAGGGGTTAGGAGAATCTGGTGGGTGCACTCCAGAGGTGGGTTTCAGCAGGTTCTGACCAGTTCTACAGAACCGGTAGTGGAAATTTTGAATAGTTCGGAGAACCGGTAGTAAAAATTCTGACTGGCCCCACCCCCATCTATTCTCTGCCTCCCAAGTCCCAGCTGATCGGGAGGAAATGGGGATTTTGCAGTAACCTTCCCCTGGAGTGGGGTGGGAATGGGGATTTTACAGTATTCTTCCCCTGCCACGGCCAGCAAGCCACGCCCACCAAGCCATGCCACACCCACCATGCCACACCCACAGAACTGGTAGTAAAAAATTTTGAAACCCACCACTGGTGCACTCACAAAATGGCTGCCCCGGCAAGCCTGTCAAGTCCCCAAAGGCCCAATGAGCAAAAGTCATTTCTATTGCTGCAAATAAACATGATGCTAAAGCAGTGTTTCTCAACCTCGAGAGCGTTTCTCAACCTTGGTAACTTCAAGGGAATGGGGAATGCTGGCTGGGGAATTCTGGGAACTGAAATCCACACATCTTCAAGTTATCATGTGAGAAACACTGCCTTAGAGTGTTATGCAAATCCAGACCATCTGACTTGTATTTGCAGTTGAGGATGTTGCGCAAACTAGAAAATATAGTTAATTTGGTCACCAGGTTAAAAGCATTTTTGTCAACCATGGTGATTAAACCAGGAGTGTCAAACTCAAGGCCCGAGGGCTGGATCCGGCCTGTGGGGTACTTAGATCTGGCCCCGCGGAGCCGTCCTGGAAACAGCGAAGGACCGGCACGCGGTGCTTCTGCCAATGAAAATGGGCCCCCGAGCTCCGTTTTCGGCCAATGGTTTCTCCTGCAACCCTCTGCCAGTGAAAACGGAGCTTGGGAGGGCCACATGGCAGAGGGTTGCAGGAGGCCGTTGCAGCTGAAAACGGAGCTCGGGAGTCCATTTTCTCTGGCAGAGCGTTAGGGCCACCACAGGTGCCCCCGACAGGAGTGATGTCGAGCTGGCCACGCCCACCCTGGCCCTCTGAGGTTGAACGCAACCCTGATGTGGCCCTCAATGAAATTGGGTTTGACACCCCTGGATTAGACAATAGAGATTTAACCGGAAACATCATCCTGATCTGCAGACCATGTTTATTTTTCATTGTTTTTCCTCCTTACTAGGTTCCAAAAGAAAAGCGAATCCTTCCATCTGGAACACCAGGGCGCAGTGAAGTAGGGAAGAGGTAAGAAAAATCTCTGCCCCCTTTTTGTAAACTGCTTGATGGGGGGTGGGATCCTTATAATTTCTAGCAGATGAGGACTTCATAAATCCACGCTACAAAACATCTGTTTCTTTAGTTCAAAAAATAATTGAAAGGTGTGTCAGTAGGTGAAGACAATGGGAGGGCTGGACTCCACATTGTCTTGTTAGATTACAAGTCATGACAGATTTGGGGGTGAACAAAACAGAACTGAAGAAAAAAACTATTCACATGCCTTTGGGGTCTGTGGTTGCCTCCGACATGATGGTCCTATGCAGCAGAAAGCTGAGGTTGTAGGGAGGCTTCTTCCTACCTTGCTCCCATCTCTGGGAGCAAGCCGAGGTGGCGCAGTGGTTAGAATGCTGTTCTGCAGCTACTTCAGCTGACTGCTAGTTCAGCAGATCAGCGGATCAAATCTCACCGGCTCAAGGTTGACTCAGCCTTCCATCCTTCCGAGGTGGGTAAAATGAGGACCCAGATTGTTGGGGGCAATATGCTATTTAGTATACTGTCAATTGTTGTAAGCCGCCCAGAGTCCTTGGAGAGTGGGCGGCATAGAAATATGATTAATAAAAAAATAAAAAAATTAGGATCAGATCAAACTTGCTGGTTATGCACCCAATAAGTTGTTTTGAAAAGCTTTACTAAGCTTCCAGAAGATGTATACCAGCAACCACTCTGGCTTGCCAGATGCTGCTAAATTTGAATGCCCAGCAGTCCTACCATGCATGCCTAATTGCAAAAGATCTTGGATGCTGTAGTTCAACAACACTGATGGGACACCATTTGCTATTCCTAATAGAGAAAGAGGATTCTGAAACCATTGGCATCCACTGTAAAGTTATAGAAGAGGCAATCTCTGCTCAGATATGGGACAGAGGTGATGGGCTTAGAAGGACTTATCTCAAGTTATCCTTAAAGGAGACGGAGACAGATCCATGAGGGTTGGGGAAGACAGAAGAGGTTTTAGGTCCAAACTAGACTGCAGAAAATATGACTTCAGTAACAGAGTTGTCAACACCTGGAATGCACTACCTGATTCTGTGGTTTCTTCCCCAAATCCCCAAAACTTTAACCTTAGACTGTCTACTGTAGACCTCACCCCATTCCTAAGAGGTCTGCAAGGGGCGTGCATAAGCACACCAGCATGCCTACCATCCCTGTCCTAATGTTTTCTTTTATTCGTATCCTTTTCATGTATTTATAATTATGTTTACACTTGTATCTGTCATAAAATACATGCCTGATGAAATAAATAAATAAATAAATAAATTAGTTCTTCTGAAATGAGTTTACACAATAGGAACAAGTATGTGTTCAGCCTTTCCAGGTAAACCAAACAGGAAGCAGAACCCGATAAGCCAATTCCACTTTATTGGAAGATTGGATAACAGAATTTTGCAGTCTGATAGTATAAATTTCCTGACGTTACTATTATAGCCTGAGAAATTAGCGAGGTTCTTTTCTGTGTTTCTTTTCTCTGCCTATTATATAGCTGCAGGCTACAGCCTCTCTTATCTGATCATCCCTTAGGCAGCATCCCTTCTCCCCACATTCCCAAGATCATTCTCCCACACCATTACAGAGGCAGACTTTAGAGTGTCACTTTTGATGAGTAAAAAGATGAATTTGCAATGCTATTTTTTTTATTCTGGCCCAAGGCTAGAGTTTTAACTGGGTGCCCCTAGATAGCTAAGGACAATGAGAACTAGGAACAGCAGCATGGAGTGTAAGATTTCTTTTTCAACCACTTTAAAAACAATTTATATCCATCCTTTCATCCTTCTGGGCACCCATGCTTTCCAGAAAATTTCTCCTGGAGAGTTTCAATAGGCTGTAAGTATCGCTTTGGACTCTGAGTGCCCTTCAGCTTTGTGCTTTATAATGTGCTTCTGAACAACTGCATGGGAATTGAAGATAAGCAGTTGGGAGGTGAGTTATTTGCTGGGTCAAGCTGGAGGACTAAACCGCAGCTGGAGCGGTTTGGCTGGAGAAAGAACTGAACTGTGGAAGAAGGTAGAATTGGCTTGGCACTGAAATAATTATTATTAACAAGATGGTGGACAGCAAAATCTTTTGAATCTTCCGCAGCAGGAAAAGCAGGGACCTTCTGAATATCCTACAGCAAAGGTCTCCAACCTTGGCAACTTTAAGACTTGTGAACTTCATATGCTGGCTGAGGCATTCTGGGAGTTGAAGTTCACAAGTCTTAAAGTTGCCAAGGTTGGAGATCCCTAGCCTACAGTCTTCCAAATGTTGCTGGACTACAACTCGTAGCAGCTCCACTCAGGATTCCGAGAGTTATAGCTGAGGTGTCTCTGGAAAGCCATGGGTTCTCCATCCTTCCCTTGCAGAGAGTTTTGGGAAAGAGGTTGGGTAGCAATGCAAATGATGTAAGCTTTCCATTTAGCAGCATGAAAACAAAAGAATAATTTGATCAAGTTCTGATTATAGTTATCAAATGGAGATATGGTTAGTCCTGGTAAACTCCCGCTCTGTAGATTCCTATATTAAATCTCCTTCTGTTGGCCTTTGTTGCTAAATCCTTTTGCCTGGTCCTTCTTTCTCGTTTAGGCATTGCCATGGGATGGAATACGAACCAGAGATTTCTTCCTTTGAAGGTTCTGCTCAGCTCATGAAGCTTCTGGCTGAAAACGTTTCAGTGAACCAAGAATATCTGGACTTGCCCAAGAAGAACGGTTTAGCCTTTGAGGGCATCTCATCTCCTCACAAGCCACCAGCTCTGCCTCCAGGTCCCAGCAAACTAGAGAGCAATCCTGAAAATTATATGATTACTTCAGGAGACATGTATGACAACGGCTCGCTTAATTCCCTCTTTGACTCCATCCACGTGGCTCCACCCCAACAGAGATGGCAACCAGATAGCACCTTCAAAGAGGACCCTGAGGAGGTCAGAATTTATGCAAAATCCTTGTTTGATGTTATCAGTCAATGGTGGTCTGCAGGGTATAAAGGTGACACCCATAAGTCAGGCTTCTCTAACCACGTGGCATCCAGATGTACTGGAGCACAATTCCCAACATCTCCAATCATCACAGCTGGTGGTTATGCAAATTATAATCCAGCACATCTGGAAGGCACCAGGTTTGGGAAAGTTGGGGAAACTATATATTAATAGATGGCATAAAATCCAGCTTGTTTTGAAATCCAGAATGTTTGGTGACTCCGAGGGAGGGCCATCTCAGCTTGGTCAGCCACCTGGCTTGGAGCCAAGCTGTGTGGTTCTGCCCACTTCTGTGCAGGATGTGACATGCATGGTATAAATGGGAGTAGCACAGATTGTGGTAATTAGGCGTGCGAAGGAGTGTCCCTTTCATACAAAGTCAGCTGTCACAAAGGTTCAGCAGGATGGAGCAGAGTTTGGGGGGGGGAGATGATGGTGATGTCAGCTGTTCCTTAAATAGACTTCTTCCCTATAGTTATCCATATTGTTCAATGGCTACAGCTTATTTCCAAATCACTCTTTCCCATTAAGAGTTTGCCAGTGTGAAAGAGTTGAGAAACAGGAAATTATAGAGGCTCGCTCCACCTTTAGTAATTACTGACTTAGAATCCTGATGGGATTTGTTTCCTTTCATCCTGGTTCAAGCATAGACTACCTTTATGGACTTTATGGGCCGTGAAATAAAATGGAATGGAACTCTCAAAGGAGATGTTTGTAAACCATGGTTAATGGCTTAATGTTCTGCGTGAGCTTTCTCTTGCCTTGCTTGCTCTTCTCTTTATCTTCATCCAGTTTGTCCTGGACCTAAAGTAAGCTGGGTAGATCTCAGAAGGCAAAACAATCTACACCAAGCTCTTTTTGGTGCTCTTCCATTGGGACACCACCTTTGAAGGACCAAGTGTAATTAAAAAAAAATATATCTTAGCAACATCTTTGCAAATGTAGCTGGGAACCGAAGGAAGGTTCCTGGAGATCAAAGGAAGCTCTCCCACTTCAAACTTTAGCACAACTATCCCAACCTGGTTCTCCAGTTGTATTGGATAACAGGTCTCAGAAATCCCTTTTTGGGGTCTGGTTGGATGGAACTTCTATTCCAACACCTTTAGACCAGAGGTGGGTTTCAGCAGGTTCTGACCAGTTCTGGAGAACCGGTAGCGGAAATTTTGAGTAGTTCAGAGAACCGGTAGTAAAACTTCTGACTGGTCCTGCCCCCATCTATACCCTGCCTCCTGAGTCACAGTTGATCGGGAGGAAATGGGGATTTTGCAGTATCCTTCCCCTGGAGTAGGGTGGGAATGGAGATTTTTACAGTATCCTTCCCCTGTCATGCCCACCAAGCCACACCCACCAAGCCATGCCATGCCCACCAAGCCACACCCACAGAACCAGTAATAAAATTTTTTGAAACCCACCACTGCTTTAGACTACACAAGACATGGGAAAGCTGTAGTAGGGATATCTAGGGAGAAATATCGACTGTTCTTATGGTTGCGCAACCACTTCCCATCTAAACCCAGGATGTTTTCGTGTTTGTTCCAAGTTCATAAGCAGGTTGCTAACTAGGATGTGCTTTGGATTAGAATGGGTCCGGTAAGTCTTTTTCTGGCAAAAATGTCCTCCTTCTGCATGTAATGCAGAGTTTTTCAACCTTGGCAACTTGAAGAGGTGTGAACTTCAACTCCAATCATTCCATAGGCAGCATAGCTGGCTGGAGAATTCTGGGAGTTGACATCTACACCTCTTCAAGTTGCCAAGTTCGACAAACACTGGTCTAATCCATAGCCACCTCAACTCCCTCTGTTCCTAAAAACGTGTTCTGGAGATTGCAAAAAAATAAATAAATAGCACTCTAGTATTCAAGGGCTGATTGTGTGGTTCTGAGTACAGGGAGGTTCCCGCTTGGTCTGCTTTGCTGTCCTACTTGTTTAGCAGCTGTCTGAGACAGTTAAGGAGATAGTGCTTTTTTCTTGATAGTTTGCTCCCCTACGGAAAGGTTAATCTGCTAGATATCTCTCTACCCAATTTGCCTTGGATCGAAGGCAAACTTTAAGACTTGTGGACCTCAATCTCCAGAATTACCCATGCTGGCTGAGGAATTCTGGGAGTTGAAGTCCACAAGTCTTACAGTCGCAAGGGGAGGCTTCAAAATACATACATACATACATACATACATACATACATACATACATACATGTGGTGGAATTCAAATTTTTTTACTACCGGTTCTGTGGGCATGGCTTGGTGGGCATGATGTGGCTTGGTGGGCGTGGCAGGGGAAGGATACTTCAAAAACTCCATTCCCACCCCACTCCAGGGGAAGGATATTGCAAAATCTCCATTCCCAGCCCACTCTGGGGCCAGCCAGAGGTGGAATTTGCCGGTTCTCCGAACTACTCAAAATTTCCACTACCAGTTCTCCAGAACCTGTCAGAACCTGCTGAATTTCACCCCGATACATACATAATACATACATACATAATACATACATACAAACAAACAAAATAAACTCAAATCAAATCAAATCACAGCAAACTGTTCTGGTTTTGTTCTCTGCAGTCCTTGATCTTCAATGATATTTTGAAGGCAGAAGCTCCGTGTTCAGAAGGTTATTCCATCAGTGATGGCAAGACGTAAGTGTGAAGGTTTTCTCCTGAACTATTTAATCTTCAATAGAGGAAAAAATAAGCTATCTTTTTTTAAAAAAAAACAAACAAGAACTTCCTACACTGCTGCACTGGATTATACTTCTTTCCTATAAATTGGACTAACTTAACAACAGTTGGAGTTTCTCCTGAATCGGTGCTGCATTTCCATAAACCTACAATGATAGCTCCATTCATCAATGGAGCTAATTTATTTTCAGCTCAGCTGTTGTGTATCCAAAATTTCTCCAACCCACTTTTCCAATTGGAATCCTTAGAGCTTTGCAGAGATTAGGGGTGAGCTGGACTCCAGTGACAGGAACATTGGATTTCCAGGGTTGCCCCTTCTCCTTGGACTTTTGTCATCAAAACACTAGCAGTTCACAATTTGCAATTACATAGCAAACAGAGAGACAAGAGGCATAGAGACCCTTGTGGCAATTCTCCAATATGCGCCAAAGCACCTGATAGCAGAACAAGAAGCAATGGATGGATACTAATCAAAGAGAGAGCCAACCTAGAACTAAGGAGAAATTTCCTGATGGTTAGAACAATGAATCAGTGGGACATCCTGCCTCCAGAGGTTGTGGGTGCTCCATCACTGGAGATTTTCAAGAAGAGACTGGACAGCCATCTATCTAAAATGATATAGGGTTTCCTGCTTGAGCAGGGGGTTGGACTAGAAGACCTCCACGGTCCCTTTCAACTCTGTTATTCTGTTCTGTTATTCAATTGCAGGGATGTTTTTGAACCTCATTAAACACATCAAACCAGCATTGAAGATAGATGAGTTGTTGATTGATGCTGTTTTAAAATCTCCCCTATTGATTAGTGGAAGAGGGCTCTAGTTAGTACATGAACTGGGATCTGTCCAGCTTTGTAGACTCGTTATATTGGTGTTAACTATAACATTGAAGAAAAGCGAGTTGGCTCCGAAATGATTCCTTTTGTGTTTTACCAAGTAAAATCCCTTTCTCTTTCTTTAATGGTGCCATTCCAGTGACTTTGAATACACCTTGGGATCCCCCAAAGCTATTCATATCAAGGCAGGCGACTCACCCATGGCGTACCTCAACAAAGGACAGTTCTACCCGGTGACTCTGAGGACAGTTGGAGACGCCAAATGTTTACACCTGTCCTCAAACAAAGTGAAGGTAAGTGACATGCGGCCAAGCGGCCACCAAAAGCATAATAGCCTTTGCAGGTTTCATTTTCAGAGCTATTCCAGCCAATAGCTATGGGAGAATTCTAAAGTCATTAAGCAAAAAAAAAAAAAATACTGGGCAAGAATTCATATGTGGTTGGAGAAGATGATGCAGAAGCATTTGATTTGAAACTGTTGGGGATTTAAAATCCCCAACAGAAATATCTTAGATTTTACCAGAAAACTATAATAAAGAAAATGTATATTTGATTATTCATGTAATAACTGCAGCTAGAATTGTATTTGCAGAAAATTGGAAAGGTGAAAAGATTCTTACAGATGAAAATGTGATTAAGAAAATAGTAGAACATGCAGAAATGAATAGATTAACACTTGCAATTAAAGGAAAGGAAGAAGCTGATTACTATAATATGTGGGATTTATTTTATCAATGGTTAGAGAATCAATATGAAAACAATGTATAATAAAATTAAATAAGTTAAGAAGAGAAATGATACAACAATAGATATGTTAAGTATTAAGCATTAGTATTAAAATAATAGTAGATATAAATAATGAATATGGTGAAAAGCTTTAACTGTTACGGCACAAAAAATTTGTACCCAGACGACACACTGTTTAATGAATGATGGGATGTTTGTATTAAAAGAATTTTTTTTTAAAAAAAAAAAAGAGAATTCTAAACATTATCAATCCTGAAATGTTACTCCAAAGTTGATTTTGGTTTTGCAAATGGATTTATAAATAAACACTTTGTAGACATTAACAGATTATATGTGGGCTTCCTTCCCTTTTTCCAGAGTGTGGTGATGGTAGTTTTCGACAATGAGAAGATTCCAATGGAACAGCTCAAATTCTGGAAACACTGGCATTCGCGCCAACCGACAGCGAAACAGCGAGTCATCGATGTTGGTATGGAGTGTCACTACTTCAGGGTTTCTTCTCCAGGACAGAACAAAAAAAATGGATAGGACGGCTTTCTCCCAAACAACCAGGGGGGAAATCCAGCAGGTTCTGACAGGTTCTGGAGAACCGGTAGTGGAAATTTTGAGCAGTTCGGAGAACCGGCAAATACCACCTCTGGCTGGCCCCAGAGTGGGGTGGGAATGGAGATTTTGCAGTATCCTTTCTCCAGGAGTGGGGAGGGAATGGGGATTTTGCAGTATCCTTCCCCTGCCCCGCCCATCAAGCCACGCCCACCGAGCCACACTACGCCCACCGAGCCTAGCCCACAGAACCGGTAGTAAAAAAAATTGGATTTCACCACTGCAAACAACTAATCTGGTATCTGTGGAGATTCTCAGTCATTGAGATCATGGTTTTCCCAAAGGTGCTTTTTCTAAAGGCAATTGGCCTTTGTTTTCCCTTGAAGGCATTTTGCTTCTCATCCAAGAAGCTACTTCAGTCTGAAAAAAAGCACTTTTGGGACAACTAATCTGGTCGGCTTTATGTGAGCTGCTTCAGGTCCATGGGGCTGGGAAAGCAGATTATTTCCCACCGTGATGGAGGCACACTCCTGCTCATTTGTATTGCTCATCTCCATGATCTTCTCCTCCTCCAGCTGTTTATGGAGATGATGGTGAGGGCCAAGAATTTCATTCATCACCTGGGATAGACTATGGCCATTCTTGCAACATCAGTTCAATAACAATGGTTCTTAAGATATGCGGAAGTAAAACTAGATCTTAACCACTGAATCCAGAAGAAAGTTTAGGAGTAGTTCCGAGGAGTAAATATGGAATTATCACATTTTTTTAAAGATAGCAATAGTTAAATAATTATACCTGATTAATTAAAGAAATAAAAGAAATGTTTTTTTTTAAAATCTCTTTTAGCTGACTGTAAAGAGAATTTCAATACTGTGCAGCATATTGAAGAGGTCGCTTACAATGCCTTATCCTTCGTCTGGAATATCGCTGAAGAAGCAAAGGTAAGCTTGAGATACCAACAAGACTACCTGCTAAGTCCTGTCTCATGGAAGCCCTTGAGAAATAGTTGGAGAATTTCTCCCTCTCCTGAAGAAATTTGGAAAAAATGCCCCACCCAATTTTTATACCCACAAGTTTGGTAGAGATTTTGGAAAATATCACTTTGAATAACCCATTTTAAATCATCTTTCCCCTTTGGGGGTTACATTCAGAGGTGGGTTTCAGCAGGTTCTGACCAATTCTGGAGAACCGGTAGCGGAAATTTTGAGTAGTTCGGAGAACCGGTAGTAAAAATTTTGCCTGGCCCCGCCCCGATCTATTCACTGCTTCCCTGGTCTCATCTGATTGGGAGGAAATGGGGATTTTCCAGTAACCTTCCCCTGGAGTGGGGTGGGAATGGAGACTTTACAGTGTCCTTTCCCTGCCATGCCCACCAAGCCACGCCCACCAAGCCACACCCACTGAACCGGTAGTAAGAAATGTTGAAACCCACCGCTGGTTACATTGATATTTGGACTTTCATCTTGTTTAGGAGTGGCTTCTCTGAGTAAATCTTTAATATCAAACAGATTTTCCATAGTTGCTAATTTGGTTACAAAACGAGCTCCAAAATTTATCAGTGTTAATCTGCTGAACACCATAAATTGGGTTCGTTTGAGAAAAGAGCCATAACTTCGATATAAATAATCTACAAAACCCGGTATAAACATAAGCTCTGTTCATATCAGTTCTACAAATGTTAGGCATGTTTACAATCTTAAGGAACATGGGTACTGTTGTCCTAAAGTTCATTTCCATTTACAGATTTTTTGCGGCTGTAATCTGGCTTTATGTAATGCCTCCAATTGCTTTGCTCTTAGCCACCTCTCTCTTGATAGTGTTGTCTGCCCAGCACTGAGAGAAAGGAACCTTGATCATGAAGGAGGTTTTCCCAGGGTGAGGCTCATCCATTGCACTCCGGGTGTGCTGACCCCTGCGATTTCCCCAAATGCGGGAAACTCGACTGCATAATTTGTGCCTTCTCTGAGCAGTTAGTCTGGCCCATTGCAATAACACCAACCCACCATTGGACACCACTAGAGCTTCAGGTGACACACACACACCCTTTTTCTACAATGGAACTAGGCCCATAATGCTTTCCGTTCGCTTTTGCAGGTGTTCATCGGCGTGAACTGCCTGAGCACGGACTTCTCCTCTCAAAAAGGCGTGAAGGGTGTCCCACTGAACCTCCAGATCGACACTTATGACTACAGCACTGGGACAAACCGGCTGGTCCATCGAGCTGTCTGCCAGATCAAAATATTTTGCGATAAGGTAGAGTAAGGGAAGCCTTTGGCAAATTTTGTGCATGGGCTGAGTGTGTCTGTGTGTCTGTGTGTGTGTAAAGCCTCAGAGTTGGCCAGGAGTTAATTTCAATTTCAATTATCTTTATTGTCAGTGCACAACATATGTACAATGAGTTTGGTGGAGCTCCCTCAGTGCACCAACGCAATACAACTCAACAGCGAAGACAGAAAAATCCCTAACCCAATAAATCGTATTAACAAAACACTCAGTCCTATTGCACCAGTGTGAACATGTTACACATTGCGCAGGTCCATCGTACTATGTAGTTACGATGTTATTTCGCATTCAGGAGTCTGACAGCTCATGGATAAAAAACTCTTCTTCAGCCTGTTTGTGCGGCTGGCTATGCTTCTACATCTCCTTCCCAATGGTAGGAGGTCACCCTTGTTTCTTGAACACAAAGTCTTTTGGAGAGAAACTTTGCAAGCAAGAGCTGAAGTGTCAAATTCGGGCTCTGAGGAAACTTAGAGATGAACAAGAGGACCTTCTGGCTTGTGGATTTGAATATATCCCACAGCCTCTCCCCAGCCCCCCCCCCCCATTAAGCCTAGAGAGCAAGGACTCATTGGCATGAATGGAATCCCCACCCCCCCATTGTCCTAAGTTTGAAGGTGATAGTTGAGGGCAAAGGATAAAGACTCCTCTCTCTACCTTTCCCCACCACCACAATCCAGACCATCCCTTACCCCATGCAGCAATTATGTTTGGGGGTGGGGGAAACCCTGTGCTTATTCTCAAATCTAATTGGTAAGAAGCTGGGGGCAGGGGTGGGAAGAAGAAGAAGAGAGAGATGAATCAGCAAGAGCAATAGAAAGAAGGAAGAAGGTGGAGAGATCACAATGCATGAATGGATGGGTCCAGGGCTGGTACCCATGGCTTGGAATAGGTCTACTGGTAGAGTGTGGCACCTGAAGATTGAGAGAGGCAGGGTGCACATTCAGTCAATGATTACGCATGATCAGAGGACTCCAGAGGTGGGTTTCAGCAGGTTCTGACCAGTTCTGGAGAACCGGTAGTGGAAATTTTGAGTAGTTCAGAGAATCGATAGTAAAAATTCTGACTGGCCCACCCCCATCTATTCTCTGCCTCCTGAATCCCAGCTGATCGGGAGGAAATGGGGATTTTGCAGTAACCTTCCCCAGGATTGGGAAGGGAATGGGGGTTTTACAGTATCCCTCCCCTGCCACGCCCACCAAGCCATGCCCACCAAGCCATGCCATGCCCACCAAGCCACACCCACAGAACCAGTAGTAAAAAATTTTGAAACCCACCACTGGAGGACTCATTCCTGACTTATTAGATCCAAGTGTTTGCAGTCAAGGTGGACAAATATCATTTTACGTGCCACAGCATTCTCAGACTTACTAGGCAGACCACAGGAAACACAGCCAGATAACTAAATCTAATTTATTGTTAAACTATATTAAAGAACTTCGGAGCCTGAAAGTGCAAGTCTCTTGCTGTCACTTTTAGAGCCTGAGAACTTAAGGAGGGTCCCTCCTGACTCTCTGTGCAGTTTGGGCCATGTTCCCTCTTATCCGGGGGTGGGATTCTACCGGTTCGGACCGGTTCAGGTGAACCTGTAGCTCCTACGATCAGCTGGGAATGAACTGGTTCATCCCGACGATCAGATGGGCCCATCCGCCTGCCTGTGCTATTTTCCTACATTTATCTTCTCAGCTGATTCGCGTGGTAGAGCGGATTGCTGCGCGAATCAGCTATGTTACTCCTCCGAAGAAACCAGGAAGCGAAGATTTCTTCAAACTATGTGCACGTGCGCAGCGCAAATCACACAATCACCGAACCGGCTGTTAAACTGGGAGGATCCCTCCGCTGCTCTTATCTGACCATTCCTTTTGGCAGTATCTCTTGGCAGCTTCTCTTCACCCAGTCTCCCAAGGTCATTCCCACAAATATTACCTTAAAAAATGTTCATGGGTCTACATTTAGCAGCCATGGATGTGAGAGTGAGATTGTGGCTTCTCTCCTCTTCTAGGGAGCAGAGAGGAAAATGCGGGATGATGAACGCAAACAGTTCAGGAGGAAAGGAAAATGCTTGGATGCCAATAATAACGGTGAGTAGAAGTGGACTAGCAGCTCTTTCAAGCTGTTTGGAAAAGGGCCTTTGTGGGTTGGTACCGGGCCATGCAAAGGCTGCAGGGATGGTGACTATCAGAGCAAGGTATGGTAAAAAAAAAAAGTCAATATGGCAGCCACTGCAGTCAATCGATCTCTGTTGTGTGTTCCATATAAAAAAATGGGCAAAGCTTCAATTGTTCCATCGTGACCACCATCTCGATGTTTTTAACCACACTCTGCAGATACCCTAGTTTCTGGGAAATGAAAATCCTGCTGCTTCATGTTTCTGAGCTGCTTTCCTGCTTTGCACAACTCCAGAATCAGATATGGACTTTTGTGGTCTCTCACCCTGCCATCTCTTTCAGCAACTGAGACAGCTCGGGGACAATGTACCTCGGATTGCACGAAAAGCAAACTTTCTCTTTGAAATAGTGAAGCTCCGCAGCAGTTCTCCATGGGTGGGGAACATCTGCCTCGCCCTGCCTCATTAGTTCCCACGGTCCGGCAACCCACCCTTTCTTCCCTCCCTTTAGAGTCGCATTCCCCAACCTTTCCGGGTTGGTGGCCCAGAACAGGGAGGGAGGGAAAGAGGGGATGGTTTTATGTGGGAGAAGCAGGCACATATGCCGTTGCTCGCACGAATGGGGCCACGAGCACCCGTGACACTTGTGCAAGTGGGGCCACAAGTGCCTGTGATGTTCGTGCAAGTGAGCCCCCAAGTGCTCACCATGCTCACATGAGTGGGGCTGTGCACCCCAGCCACTCATGCGGCCCAGTTGTGAATAGGCCACGGACCATTAGTGGGCCATGGCCTACAGGTTGGGGACCCCTGCTTTAGAGGCTCCAATACGATAGTCAGACTGAGACACTCTTATTTCATGGGTCTTTTAAAAACAAGGGAAACTCCTTGGTGGCTTTACAGCTCCCCACTGAAGCAACTGCTCAGATGGGGGCTTTGATTGAGTTACATACAGGTGGTCCTCAATTTACAACCGTAACTGGGACCAGAATTTCTGTTGGTAAGCAAGCAGTTGTTAAGTGAATCGAGCCTGACATTGCGATCATTTTTTTTTGCCACAGTTGTTAAGCAAATTACTGCGGCTGTTAAGCAAATCAGGTGTGGTTGTTAAGCAAATCTGGCTTTCCCCAGTGACTTTGCTTGTCAGAAGCCAGCTGGGAAGGTCACCATTGGCAATCACATGACCCCAGGATGCGGTAGCCATTTTAAATCCATGTTGGCAGTCAAGCACCTGAATTTTGATCCCGTGACTTTGGGGATGCTCCAATGGTTAGAAGTGCAAGGACTGGTTGTAAGTCACTTTATTCAGGGCGGTTGTAATTTCAAATGGTCACTAAGCAAAAGGTTGTAAGTCGAAGGATACCTCTATTTTGTATTTTTCTGTTGCTCAACTGGTGGAGTTTTGATGGGTTGTTCACGATGTTCTCAACCTTTGAGAAAAGTGGCAATGAAGATGACCATGGATTGGCTTCCAACTTGCTTTTAAGGATTCAGGAAGTAGAAACAGCATCAGCATTTGCGGTCTAAAAAGACTCTGCTCCAGCAGTCAGTTGCTTTAAGAGTTGCACAGATGAACAAGAGCATCTACTCTTAGTCCAGCTTGACTGATCTGGTGCCGTCTAGATCAGGAGTTGGCAACCTTAAACCCTCAAAGAGCCACAAAGGTCCTAACTGGAAGCCCCCCATTCAATTCTGGAGCCGACTGGAAGTCCGGTTCCCCCACCATAGAGTCTCCTCCTAGCACGGCGTCCTTTTTCCTCCGCCGACTAGAAGTCAGTTCCCCACCACCACCACCATAGAGTTTCCTCCTAGTGCGGCTTCCTTTTTCCTCTACCTGTCCTAACCGAAAGCCCTATCAATTGTGGAGCCGACCAGCAACAGGGAGCCACAGCAGAGGGATGAAAGAGCCACATGCGGCTCCAGAGCCGTGGGTTGCTGACCTCTGCTCTAGATAAACCAGTGCAATTCTGGTAACTCCCAGCTGCCCAAGAGACTGGCCATAGACTCCAGGTCTGCTGGAGAGTTTGCACATTCCACCTAGAATCCAGGCCAGGCCATGTTAGCCCAGCCCCAGCTGGATTTAAAGTCCTATTTTTAAATCCTTTCTCTTTGCTTATTCTATTTTATTTATTTACCTATGAGATCTAGACCACATAGGTTGACACATGCCCTCTGGGAAGCTTACAAAACAAATCCATATTCAAAACATAATAAGTGAGATGTCAAATAAAAACAGCCATAAAAACTACAAAAGGGAGAAAAGCAAAAAGAGCGGTCACTGAGATGGGGGGGGGGAAGCAGCTGGAACTAGTTTCAAGAGACTTGTGATTGCTCCAAGAAAGGAAGGCTTGGCACACTCTGCCTAGGGCCTTCAAGATAGCAAAGAAAGGGCCAGGGGAAAGTCCCTGGAGTTAGAGCGTCGTTGTATGGACACCACAGCCTGAAGGCTTGTCATTCCAGTAACCACCAGTCAGGTTTCTAAAAATGGGGAGGCTATAAAGAACCTGTAAGATGATTTGAGTTGACCATGAGGGTCCTATGGGAGAAGGTGGTCCTTAGAGATCTCTTTTGGGACCATCAAGATGACCTCCATCTTCTCTTCCCTTCTCTAGTCCTTAGAGATTTGTTCTGGGACCATCAACATCACTTCCGCCTTTTGCTCACTTCTCTTCTCTGCCCTTCTTTTCTTTGTTCACCTTTCTGGGGTTTGAGGTTGCCAAAGGCATCTTCTTGGGTTTCGATCGCAGTTTAGTAATGAATTCTTGAAGGACCTCTTGAAATGATTGTTGCCAGAAAATTGACTTACAAGTTTTCTTGCCTTTCATAGGACAATCTGAAGGCACATCTTACCAATCTTGAATGAGCTTGAGCATATTACAAACAAACTTTGGATTCTCCCAGATGCCATCTATGAAATAGCAATAGCGCTTAGACTTATATACCGCTTCAAAGTGCTTTTACAGCCCTCTCTAAGCGGTATATGGAGTCAGCATATTGCTTCCAACAATCTGGCTCCCCATTCTACCATCTTCAGAAGGATGGAAGCCTGAGTCAACCTTGAGCCAGTCAGGATCGAACTCCTGGCAGTTGCAGAGTTAGCCTGAAATACTGCATTCTAACCACTGCACCACTAAGGCTCTTAGAATAGTCTCAGAAGGCTTTCAAATGGATGGCTTTGATGTGTTAAGACATTACTGTATTAGATTCAAGACTATTTATTTATGGATTTGTTAAAGTAGCTTGTCAGTTATATCTGCTTTTTGGATGGATTTATTTATCTTCACACCAAAATGTATACACCAGATATTTCACAGGATTCAACAGGGTGGATTTGATTTAAATCAAGTTGATTTAAATCACAATTTAAATCATGATTTAAATCACTAGTAAAAAGGCTTGATTTAAATCAACTCGATTTAAATCATAATTTTTAAAGAGCAACTGTCATCTCTGCTACTCCTTTGACCCACTGTTGACTCACCGATAGTCCCAGTGTTGCAGAATATACAGCCTCATGCTACATAACTAAGCTCCATTTCATGCTGAATAAACTAAATTTATGTATCTTAAATAGAAAACTATCTTACGATAGATTTTTACCCCAAAAGTTTTTTATTAAAATAAATTCGATAAAAATCAAAAAAATCCATTTTAATTCAAAAAAATCTGATTTTTTTGATTTTTTTAAAAAAATCATTGATTTTTATCCACCCTGGGATTCAAGATGGTTTACACCACCACAAAGGAAAATGCCCAATATATAAACAACCATAGAGGACAAATATAACCAGAATTACAGGCCTATCTCTAAGGAAAGTCCATCACCATTAGCACCCATAGTTCCTGAGATATAAATTACGGGCCAAATTTATAAATTATTTTAACTTTATTTTTAACTGTAATGTTATGTATAGATGTTTTTATTTTGGCTGTTCACCGCCCTGAGTCCGAAAGGAGAAGGGCGGTATAGAAATTTGAATAATAAATAAATAAATAAATAAATAAATAAATAAATAAATAAATAAATAAAAACAGTCTTAAGGGCCAGTAGATTAGGGGCACCAACGATCTTGGCACCCAATAATTTTTCCACTTCAAAGTAACTCCTGTGCTACCAGCCCCAAGGCGATATTTGCAGGTCTTCTACCTCTTCTTGCTTAATGTTTTTGGTTCTTGTTTCACATGGGGAGGAAGAACTTCAAGTTACAAGCGGAATCATACATTTCTATGGTTTTGTAAGATGCCTCGTGGGTCTGTTTAACCCTGCTGAAAACCAGGAGGGCAACTAATATTAACAAACTCTGAAACTGTCCTCCAGCTTTTCATAGAGGAATAAGAGATAGCAGGTGAATTTGTAATGTCCTTTGATGGCCAAGGCATCCCTTTTTATGGGCTTTTCTCAAGTAGCCGTTCTGCATTCAGTCAGCCTGTCATAAAAGACAATTTTAAAAACGGTAACCCCAACCAAAAGGAATAGGGATAACAATATAATATAATAATAGGGAAAAGAGAATCATGCCAATATTTGTTGTTTATTAAACCGATTTATATAGCCACCTAACCAGGGGTGGGCTGCTGGGGGTTCGGGAGAACCTCTAGCTAAGATTCTGTGCAGTTCAGAGAACCGCCAAATCCCACTCCTGGCTGGCACCACCCACCCTACCCCTCCCAGGAGTCTCCAGGCAGCCTGCTTTGTATGCAGGTAAGTGCAGGGCGTGTGTGGAGGCTCAGGAAGGGTGAAAAATGGGCCTACAGGAAGTTAGGGAAGGCCGGAAACAGGCCCATTTCTGGCTTCCAGAGGGCTTCCGGAGCCTGGAGAGGCCGTTTTCGCTCTCCCAGAGGCTCAATGAAAGCCTCGGGAGCCCGGGGAGGGCAAAATCGCCCACCCTCACCGTGGTGCAGGAGACCAACTAGGCCACACCCACCATGGCCACGCCTACCCAGCAATGGGGCAGAGAACCCCTTGCTGAAATTTTTGAAGCCCACCCCTGCATCTAACTCATAAATAAATGACTCTCGGCAATGTTCAACAAAGCTAAAAATAGTGAATAAATATATTTTAAAAGGTATAAAAACCACAGTAAAAGAATAATACAAGGGATGTTAAAAATAACAGAGCCACGGTATCAACATCAAATTCCCATTTCAGTTCTACAGATATTTCAAAATGGTGTCAATTAATCATTTGATGGTATGATTTAATCAGCTGATATAACAAGTATACAACATAGCTAATACTTTTAATGTTTATTTATTAACTATATGAGTGTGCTGGATTCCAAAAGCACAGATAATTTATACATTATTTTTTAAATATAAAATTCCCCTCTTAAGTGTGCTTGTTTGGGTGTGTATAACTGGATACTCTGCACATATATTAGACTACAATACCTATCATCTTTCATCAGAAAATTTCCCTACAAATATGATGGCTGACTACAAGGCTTCTGTTAATTTAGAATAAGAAGTGTGATAACAAAATAAACCATAACTTTTTCTTCTATCTTTCAGGTTTGAAAAGCTGTTTAGTTTCAAGCTTTCGCAGCAATGAAATCACTTACCTCAAGCCCCAAAGTGACTTGGAAACCCAACCGGTCTTATTCATCCCAAATGTTCATTTTTCAAACCTCCAAAGATGTGCAACGGTAAGGCTCCTCTGTTGGCCCCACAGTTTATGGCTAAGAACCTCCAGAGTTCTGTTAAGAAAACATGGACTTCGGAATGGATCCATGCTTTGATATGGTTGAGTTGGAAAGAATCCACCAAGAGTGCTTCTCAGTGATGGAGAGGATTGACATCTAGATGTAGTCAAGAGTCAGTGGTTGTCCAGAACAGGGGTCTCCAACCTTGGCAACTTTAAGCCTGGAGGACTTCAACTCTGGAGGACCAGCTTTGCTGGCTGGGGAATTCTTGGAGTTGAAGTCCTCCAGGCTTAAAGTTGCCAAGGTTGGAGACCCCTAGTCCAGAAGGCAAAGTCTTTATAGGGTTTTAACTAGAGAGCCATTTTAATGATTAAAATATCAGGGTAGAAAGCTAGGGACTCTGAGTTCTTAGTCCCATTTTAAGAATGAAAATTGACTTTGTGACACTGGACCAATCACCTGGAAACGGTGAATTCTAATCCCACTTTAGGAATGAAAGTTGACTTGAGTGATTTTGGGCCAATCACCATTAGCTGTGAGTTCTAGCTTTGCCTTAGGCATGAAAGCCAACTGCGTTGACTTTGGGTCAAAAAACTCTCTCCCAGCTCAACTTCTTTTTCTTGTCGGGAAAATAGGAGGAGGAAGGATTATTAGTGATGTACACTGCCTTGAATTACTTATAAAAATAATGAAGGCAAGATATAAGTGATAAATTATCTTAATATATTACAACACTACATAAACTAGTGTTTCTTTCTCTCTAGCTAAAAAGTTAGTAGACTTTGTTGTATACCTGATACATAGGTTCATTTAATTTTTATATCAGTGGTGACTAAATACCCTGTTTCCCTGAAAATGGGATGTTTTTTTATTTTGGCTGTGCACTGCCCTGAGTCCAGCAGGAGAAGGGCAGTATACAAATTTAATAAAATAAATAAATAAATAAAATAAAATAAGACATCCCCTGATAATAAGCCCATTCGGGCTTTTGAGCGCATGCGCTAAAATAAGCCTCCCCCTGAAAATAAGCCCTCCCCGAAAATATTGAAATGCAGAGCTGGAAATCAGACAAGACGGCAAGAGGAGCCCCATCTTGCTCCACGTGCCCCAAAATAATAAGACCTCCCCGAAAATAAGGCCAAGCACTTATCAAAAAAATATAAAACAGGGTCTGATTTTCGGGGAAACACGGTATGGTGAACTAGGGACAACGTATTCATGCGACATGCTTATCCAGGCAAGTCATACAGCTGTTTGGTTTGGGTTGGTTGGATGGATGGATGATCCCATTCCATTTAATTAATAGAAGGTTGACTGTATCATGCAAACCCAAGAAATGGATGATTCATGACCTGGTTAAGCTTATTGTGTGAACATCCAAATATTTGGTCAGCAAAGCAATCATTTGAGGCTCTGCTCCAGAAAGAAACACATTCTGTGGGGATGAAATATGATTTGGATCCCCTACGTCAGGGATGAAATACTACCGGTTCGCAGTGGTTCGGGCAAATCAGTAGTGATAAAAGCTACCAGTTCAGGCGAACAGGTATTTCCGACGATCAGCTGTGTTGCGTGATTTATATTTGCTAGCGAATCTAAATCGTGCGGCACAGCTGTCCCCCCCCCGCTGTTCTACTTAACTTGTCAAGCCTCCTTTTTCACGCAAAGCATGCGTTTGGCGTGCACTGCGCATGCATGCACAGCATGTGTTTGGCATACAATGCGCATGCACACACATGCTGCGTGCATTTGGCATGCACTGCACATGTGTGGGCAGTGAACTGGTGGCAATCCGCAGAGGATTTCACCACTTCCCTACCTAACCTTTGTTAGAGAAAAGGAGGAGTGAAGGAGAACAGTAAGGTGTGTAAAAATGTCTAATTAGTTGAGTATGACATACATCCCAAGAGGAATGTGGACAGATATGAAACAACCAACCTCTGATCCAGCAAGCTATTTAGTAAACAAGGTATTTTGAGTGGACTTTCCATGGAAGCCACCTTTGAACCCTTGAAGAAAAGGCAGAAGCTAAATCTAATAAATAAAGTTTTGCAATGTTATTGCAAATTGGGGGAGGGCTTTAAAATGGCTGTTCATCTTTGTTTAAAACATCTCCCTCCCTCTTTACAGGTATTACCTACTGCTGGAGCTCCACACGATTCCCACAGGTGTGTAATACATTTCCTTTGGTGGTAGAGGCATTGACGGGGTCAACAACCTGAAACGCTTTCGGACTCTTGAGGCCAAAAATGTGTTTGTTTCCCACATACTTGTTGTCTTTATAGCTCAGGGAAACTCAAATATTTAAGTCTTTGATCCAGGCATGGGTTTACACTCAGGCCTTCAGGGCTCTGGACCATGAAACTCTTGAGTGCTGCACATTGGGTGACTTTCAGCAAGTCACTGTCTTGGTTCAGCTTCCATGTGGAGGGGGGAATAGTCAATGATTTCCATCTGGGAATCTCTAAGGGTCTAGTCTCAAATGAGGGGGGACACTTCATTTGGGGTGTTTTTATGAGTAATAGAGAGCGCACTCTATCAATATGTATATCAGCATAATGGCCACATTCAAATGAAATAAAATGAATTGTCCATTTTTATTAAGGACAAAGCGTTAAAGATGGTCTGTCCACCCACCCGTCCATCCATCCATCCATCCATCCATCCATCCATCCATCCTCTGTTTGTTCTTGGCAGTTTCTCCTAATTCACCCATAAAGTGGATTAAGCTGAGAAATGTGACTAAATTCACTTGAGGACTGTGAAGGGCCTTGAATTTGAGTCTTTCTGGTCTATAACTCACTCTTTAACTGCTGCACAATCTAGATTCAGTTATGGACAACTGATCTATTTGGGAAGATCCCTTGTGATTTGTATATTAGGCACAACCAGATGTTCTGAGCTCCTTTTTTTTCCCCCTACCTAGCTTGCCCTTAAAGCGGAGCTGCCCTTCCTTCCCCGACGAATTTGATCCCATAGCCGCAAAACAAGCAAAAGAAGAAGACCCCCAACGAGGTAAGGTGGAAGAGGCAGATGTCTTCTACATGCCCAAGGGCCTCATGGCCCAAGACAAAGCAAGGAGTCCACAGATGCATCTTTCTGTTCGTTAACCACAATACTAACATGCCAGAGTGGCAAATTGGCAAATGGACAGGCAACTAAACTTGACTCTCTAGGATCCTGCCCACCGGTGTCCTTCATTGTCCCAACACAAGTTAAGGAAAGCAATTGATGGTTTCTTTTCCACTGGAAGGTGGTACTCTGGAGAAAGAAATGAAGCTCAGGGAGTCCATCAATCACTTTCCTTAATTTGTCCTAAAGACAGTAAAATGGGACACGGTGGCTCAGTGGCTAAGATGCTGAGCTTGTCGATAGAAAAGGTCGGTAGTTCAGCGGTTCGAATCCCTAGTGTCGCGTAACAGCATGAGCTCCCGTTACTTCTGCCAATCTAGCAGTTCGAAAGCACGTAAAAAACACAAGTAGAAAAATAGGAACCACCTTTGGTGGGAAGGTAACAGCATTCCGTGTGCCTTTGGCATTTAGTCATGCCAGCCACATGACCACAGAGACGTCTTTGGATAGCGCTGGCTCTTCGGCTTTGAAACGGAGATGAGCACCGCCCCTAGAGTCGGGAATGACTAGCACTTATGTGCGAGGGGAACTGTTACCTTTTTAAAGACAATAAGCATGACATCATTCACCTGGCCTTTTTCTGAAGCAGAACAGGGACAAGCATTGAGGGCAGTGAAATTCATGTTGGTGTCTGTGCCCAGAGAGAGTACAGAAACATGGACTGTGAGGGATGAAGATGTAAGCAATGCAAAAAAGCTCCTAAGGACAGGAATGTGGGGCCTCAAAACAAAGACGTAATGGATTTGGGAGATTCTATAATGGAAGGAGAGAAATGGGGGGGGGTGTTCCTTTTTCTGCATTGGCAGATTTATTTGACCATTATCTCTTGTGTCATTCAGTTCTACTCTATGTTCGACGGGAATCAGAGGAAGTTTTTGACGCTCTCATGCTGAAGACTCCCGATCTCAAAGGCTTGAGAAATGCGGTGAGTCTCTCTCCTTGGTCATCCTGTGGCATGGAAGTTTGCTACTTTGGGATGAGGTGCTGAAGAAGGAGAAGGGCAACTTGGCAACTAGCTGGAGAAGGGCAACCAGCAGATCTCCACAAAAGGAAGGACAAATTGAGTCAGACTGTCTCCCATCCCAGATATTAATCTCTTCCTAGGTTTCTTTTGTTGTTGTTAGTTGTGAAGTCGTGTCTGACTCATCGCGACCCCCTGGACAACGTTCCTTCAGACCTTCCTGTCCCCTACCATTCTCTGGAATCCATTTAAGCTCACGCCGACTGCTTCAGTGACTCCATCCAGCAACCTCATTCTCTGTCCTCCTCTCCTCTTCTTCTTTTACCCTCCATCGTTCCCAGCATTTGGCTCTTCTCCAGCGAGTCCTTCCTTCTCATTAGGTGGCCAAAGTATTTGAGTTTCATCTTCAGGATCTGGCCTTCTAAAGAGGAGTCAGGGTTGATCTCCTCTAGGACTGACCTGTTTGATCGCCTTGCAGTCCAAGGGACTCACAGGAGCCTTCTCCAGCACCATAGTTCAAAGGCCTCAGTTCTTTGGCACTCAACCTTTCTTATGGTCCAACTTTCAGAGCCATACATTGCAACTGGAAAAACCATAGCCTTGACTATACGCACTTTTATTGGTCTCTTTATCCTATTTTAATTTTAAAAATTTCTACAAGTTTGCTTAAATAATGGGAGGAAACAGCTACTGGATGTATTAAGAGATGGCTCCACTTAATCAATGTTGTACAACGATTCTGGTGCTGATAAAATAGAAAACCAATTTGAGGATGCTGCATCTTAAGGCCTTCCCTAAAGATATGTTTGGTTGGGATTATAACTAGCCCATTGGCAGCCTGACCTGGGGGAATGGAGTCCATTTTGCATTAAACTAGAGTTTGCTAACTGATGGTTTATGGGAAAAGCCACATTTTGTTGGTTGTATTTCCACAAGATGCTAGGTCATGAATGGTGATTTCTATTCTTCAATGAGTATATTCAGTGGTGGGATTCAGCTGGTTTAGGCCGGTTCGGGGAAACCAGTTGTTAAATTGCTGGCTGGCCCTGCACCTTCCCACCCCGTCCCTCCCAGGAGTCGTCCCCCCCCCCGCACCCAGTTTTTGCTCCCAGGAGGCTGCAGGGAGGCCTACTAGGCCTAAAACGGGGCATGGGGGGATGGCGCAGCCTCCCTGCACCCCGCTTAAACTCCCAGGAGGCTGCAGGGAAGCCTACTAGGCCCAAAACATGGTGCGGGGGGCCGCCATGCCTCCCTGTGGCCCATTTTTGCTCCCAGGAGGGTGCAGGAAGCCAACCATATCACATGAAGAACTAGCATAGTGTATGAACCTCATGAATATAAACCATAGGGACAACCAGAGCTTAAAGAACAAACGGCTCCTACTTTTCAGTTCCTGTGAAAATTTGTTTTTCACCATCAAATTCTCCCCATGTCTAATTTGGTTCCTAAGACCTGTCTCTGGAGACTGTTTTCCTGTTCATTCTGTACTCTCTTTCTCTCTAGATTTTGCCTCTTTTAGCTTGGCTTGGCTGGAAGGTTCTCCCCCTTCTCTCTATCGCCCTGCACATTTGCTCAATGTTTAAAGAGCACACAATGCTTGAGCATATTTCTGTGATGTTTATCAGCACCGTTCCTGATAACCCTCAGCTTCGCTTTGCTGAGGCGGGGAATAAAGCAAACAATCTCCTGAAATGATCTGATAGCCGTATTTATGGCTTTGCTTTATGCGTGTGTGTGTGTGTGTGTCTTTCTATGCGTGTGCCCTGCTTTTGCACACTTTCAAATTGGAAAAGAGCAAATAACAAATGTCTTTTTCTGAAATTGCCTCCTTGGGAGCTGTAGTTTTCCACACTAAAATGGTTTCTCTGCTTGCAGAAATGAGGCTGTAGCTTTCCCCAAAAAGGGATGGCTGAGAAGTAGAATAGAATACTGTAGAATAACAGAGTGGGAAGGGACCTTGGAGGTCTTCTAGTCCAACCCCTGCTTAGGCAGGAAACCCTATACCATTTCAGACAAATGGTTGCCCAATCTCTTCTTAAAAACTTCCAGTGTTGGAGCATTCACAGCTTCTGGAGGCAAGTTGTTCCATGGATGAATTGTTCTAACTGTCAGGAAATTTCTCCTTAGTTCTAAGTTGCTTCTCTCCTTGATTAGTTTCCATCCATTGCTTCTTGTCCTGCCCTCAGGTGCTTTGGAGAATAGTAAGAAACATGAATCTGGCCAAACCCACATATTGTTCTCCTCTAGGGAAGGGAATTGGGAGACCAGGTTTAAAATTGGCCCCAATACTGTATATCATAGGTTTTAGGCTGGTCCTCAGACTGTGTGATGCTAAAATACCATTTGTTTGCTTTTGGCTTAGTACAATTTGTGAATCTTGACTTTGTGGCTTATTCAATAAATAATGACTAAAGCAAACTAAGCATGACCTGTGAACCACCGTTGAATGTTGAAAGAACTTTACACCAAATGTTAGGAAGGTCTTCCTAAGGTACAAAATCTATTGTTCTACAGGCATAGAAGGTCAAGAATAAGCAAAAAAAAAAAGCCACAATTGTGGCCAAATTGTGTAATCACAACATTGCAGTCACCCTCTTGATTTTTTTTTTGTTGATCCTCTCCCAACTCCATGGGTATCCATGCATTGTTCTTGTGTTGCAAGAGAAGGTTTAAACCAGAGTTTCAGAATGGAGAAATAAATGTTAGAAACAGAGATTAGTTTAAGCCAACATAATTCCATAACTAGAATAGGATTTGAACAGTTTTTTCCTGGATCTCATTCTCTTTATCACCTAAGTAGGTTAGTTCTCAGATCTCAGTTGTTTGATTTTGACATGGGAATCTCTTTGGGATGATGCAATTGCAACTGGTTTATGGTCAGAATTGAGTGAAACAAGTGGGGAAGTATTATATGTACTGCAATACCAACCGTGAGTTTTGTAAGCCCAGGAATCCATTCATCGTAATGTGCAGGTTAATGTAAACTATTCTTTTTTTTTCATTTTTCAGATTTCAGAAAAATATGGCCTGCCAGAAGAAAGCATCTATAAAGTCTACAAAAAGTGCAAACGAGGGTAAGTGATAGTCTGTTTCCCTTGTATGACGTTCCTGGTTCTTGGGCATGCAATGGGTCTAGCAAGTAGGCAAGAAAATGTCTACATGGAAAATAGAGTTTGGAAGCAATTAGAATGTATTAGCAATTAGTATGCACCTAAGACAAATTCCTTGTGTGTCCAATCACACTTGGCCAATAAAGAATTCTATTCTATTCTATTCTATTCTATTCTATTCTATTCTATTCTATTCACTGTTGGCCAGCTTTCAGGTGCCTAGGGAAGGAATAGTATTAAATTAATTTGAAAAAGGAGAAAGAAAAGAAATTGATGCACCAATTAATGGATGAAGAAGGAACACTTCATCAAAATTATGATAAAAAGAAACTGATTCAAAATTACTGTGAAAAATTATATGATGAAGAGCAGGGGCAGATTTCAAAACCTGTCGCTACCAGTTCACTCGTGGGCACTCGTGCATGCGCAATGCACAATGTAACCCGCCGCCGTCGCTACCTGTTCGCCTGATCTGGGGCAAACTGGTAGCAACCCACCACTGATCAAGAGACAGAAATTCTGCATGTCTTGATTAAGAGCAACCAGAATCTTACTGGATCCAGCCAAAGGCTTATCTGGCTCAGCATTTCATGCAAACAACTACCCTTTCCTCTTTGCTGTGGCCCAACAGGTCATCTTTAGAAATGCCCTCTGGCTCAGGAGATTGTTGTCTTGTAAATTAATGATATTCTCAACTTTCCATCTGGAAACCTTTGTATGAGCATCAAGTGTGAGATGGGGACTATGATTAGCCATGTTCTTTGGCTACAGTCATAATCAAAATCATAAGTTTATTTGTCAAGCATATATAAGATAACAGGTAAAAGTATAAACATAATTTGAATACATGAAAATTGTATTCATAATTTGAATTCCATTCCCTCTCCCCCTCCCATCTCTGAGGAAAGATATGGCTCCTAAAAGAGCAAATGGGAGTGAGGAAGAGAAACTTTGTCCCATTCTGTTCCATTCCATTCCATTCCATTTCATTTCATTTCATTTCATTTCATTCCATTCCATTCCATTCCATTCCGTTCCGTTCCGTTCCGTTCCATTCCATTCAATTCCATTCCCTATCTCCTCCCATCTCTCTGTCATGAAAAGAGTAAGCAAAAAGGAATATTAGGACAGGGATGGTAGGCACCCTGGTGCACTTATGCATGCCCCTTATTCCCAGTGATGGAAGCTGCTTGTCCTGGGCTTCAGTGGGCTTCCCCTGTGTCATTACTTTGGTGGAAGCCGAAATGACCTATAGAGATGTTTCTCAACCTCAGGAATCTTAAGATGGGTGGACTTCAACTGCTAGAATTACCCCAGCCAACATTGGGTTCATTGGAATGCAAGGTCATCGTGTGGCACTTGTAATTTAGGGCGGTGTGTGACTGTAGCCAGAGCTGGCTTATTGAGTGAAGCATGATTAAGCCATACCACTTAGATTACAGCTCTTGGGAGATCCACACCAAAAAATGGAAATTCTCTGGTCAATTTTGAACCTTCCACCCTCTCTCACCTTAGCTCAGTGATCCTCAACCTTGGCATTTGTGGTCTTCAGCTCCCAGAATTCCCCAGTCATTGGTGGCTAGGGAATTCTGGAGGTTGAACTCCACTCATCTTAAAATTGCCAGGACTGAGAAACACTGACCTAGTCTATTTACAGGGATATTGTGAAGATAACATAGGAAGGAGAGTCCATTACTAGCTGGAGGATTCTGGGAGTTGAAATCCACACATTTTGAAATTTCCAAGGTTGAGAAACATCATATAAACACACACACACACACACACACACACACACGGGGGGGGAGGGGGAGAGGGAGAGAGAAAGAGAGACGGAGGGAGAGAGGGAGAGAGAGACGGAGAGGGAGGGAGGGTGAGAGGGAGGGAGGGAGAGAGAGAGAGACGGAGAGGGAGGGAAGAAGAGAGGGAGGGAGGGAGAGAGAGACGGAGAGGGAGGGAGGAAGAGAGGGAGGGAGGGAGGGAGAGAGAGACGGAGATGGAGGGAGGGAGGGAGAGAGATGGAGAGGGAGAGAGGGAGAGGGAGAGGGAGGGAGGGAGGCAGAGGGAGGGAGGGAGAGATGGAGAGGGGGGAGAGAGAGAGACGGAGAGGGAGAGAGGGAGAGAGAGAGAGACAGGGAGGGAGGGAGGGAGAGAGAGATGGAGAGGGAGAGGGAGAGAGAGAAGGAGGGAGAGAGAGACAGGGAGGGAGGGAGGGAGGGAGAGAGAGACGGAGAGGGAAGAAGACAGAAAGAGAGACAGAGAGAGAGGGAGGGAGAGAGAGAGGGAGGGAGGGAGAGAGAGATGGAGATGGAGGGGGGAGAGAGAGAGAGAGATGGAGAGGGGGGGAGGGAGAGAGAGGGAGAGAGAGAATCACTTATTGTCTTAACTAAGATGGGAAATCATTTTTGTTCTAGCTTAGATTATTTTAATAAATTTGAACACCTTCCACAATAGGAGCTGAAATTCAACCCACCTGGACATGGGTTGAACTTCAGCTCCTATTTGGGGTACAGCTGGCATTGGGCATTAAGCGTCAAAGCCTTGGGAAAAGGCCAAAGCTTGCATTTCTGCTTTTGCAATCTTGTTCCAGTTGGCTTCTACATACTGTGCCTTTTATTTTTAAAATATGAAGTTGTCCGGTGGGGGATTTTAAAAAAAGCCCGAGGAAGAAGTGTGTGTGTGTGTGTGTGTGTGTGTGTGTGTGTGTGTGTGTACATAGTGCATGGAGTGGTCTGGGGAATTTAACAGATATGTTGTTATCTCCCCAGGCAATGGCCCGAGGTCACCCTGTTTGGGTTTATCTTTATCATCAGGCACCATTGTTTGTTTGTTTCTCAAAACCAGCAGGATTGGAGTAACCCTTAGGCTTAGAGTGGCAGATAATGCTGGAATAGAGCAGTTTTGGGAGGAAAATCTGTACTGGATTCCACAAACGGGGCTAATTTATAAACTACAAATATAACATTTACTGGTTGGGGATGCTAGCATTTCAGCAAGGGCAACTACAGCTTGGCTATATAGTCAGAACAAACCAGTGGTGAAATCCAATTTTTTTTTTACTACCGGTTCTGTGGGCGTAGCTTGGTGGGTGTGGCAGGGGAAGGATACTGCAAAATCTCCATTCCCTCCCCACTCCAGGGGAAAGATACTGCAAAATCTCCATTCCCACCCTACTCTGGGGCCAGCCAGAGGTGGTATTTGCCAGTTCTCCGAACTACTCAAAATTTCCGCTACCGGTTCTCCGGAACCTGTCAGAACCTGCTGGATTTCACCCCTGGAACGAACGGAGGTCTTCAATATTACAATATTTCTCTCTAAATCAGGGGTGTCCAACCTTGGCAAATTTAAGACTTGTTGACTTCAACTCCCAGAATTCCCCAGCCAGTATGGGAGTTGAAGTCTACAAGTCTTAAACTTACTAAAGTTGGACACCCTGCTCTGAACCCAAGATTGACACTATTCTGGGGAAGGTTGTTGTTATACAAAATGATGCAGGCTTGGAACAAAAACCCAAGCTTCGTTTATATAGCAAAGGGATGTGAGCTAGAAGCAGAGGTGGGTTGCAGCAGGTTCTGACCAGTTCTGGAGAACCGGTAGTGGAAATTTTGAGTAGTTCAGAGAACCGGTAGTAAAAATTCTGACTGGCCCCGCCCCCCCATCTACTCTCTGCCTCCCAAGTCCCAGCTGATCCAGAGGAAATGGAGATTTTACAATATCCTTCCCCTGCCATGTCCACAAAGCCACACCCACCAAGCCATGCCACGCCCACCAAGCCACACCCACACAACCGGTAGTAAAAAAAAATTGAAACACACCACTGGCTAGAAGTGATAATTTAGGAACAGGATCTTAAAATCCTTACAGAAAACACTGACCCCCACCCCACCCCAAGGCACAATTATTGTAATAAGCAGCAAACTTCACACCTGGGACCTTTAGGAATGGAACATAAATCTGGTTTGGGTTTGATGGAAATTGAAGTTTGGGAAGGGTACCAGTAGTCCACTGGAGCCAAGAGTGGTATCTCCAACAAATAAAATTTAGAAATACAAGTTCCTTGCTAGTTCATACCTGAGCTAATTCATAGGACTAGTTCCGTGATGGCGAACCTATGGCACGCGTGCCAGAGGTGGCACGCAGTGCTCTCTCCAATGGCACGCGATCTGTTGCTGCAGTTCAGCTCTGCTGCGCATGCGTGCACGCCTCCTGCCAGCCAGCTGGTCTTCGGGTCTCTGCCGCACATTCGCGTGGGGTGTGTGGGGTGGCTGTGCACATGTGCGGAGGAGAGGGCACATGTGCAGGGGGGTGAGGCGTGTGCAGGGGGCCGCACACACATTCATGTGGGGGAGCGCATGTCCAAGGGGGGGCGCACGCAATGCATTTTGGGGGTTCGGGCACACACGCGCTTTGGGCACTTGGTCCGGAAAAGGTTAGCCATCACTGACCTAGCCACCTCTCACCAAATATTTTCCACTTACGTAAGAACTGAGTAGCCGCTTAAAAATCTTTTGCATTCCACTTTGCAACTGAGTCTGAAGGATACATAAGCCGGATAGCAGGGGTGGGTGGTAGATTGCTGCTAATCTTTTGTTTCCCCCTTTCTCTCCTCCACCTCTCAGTCTGATCAGACAAAGAGCATAATTGGGCAGGGGGTGGACCGCCCATCCTTCCGCTAATCTTGTTGTGTCTGGATAACTGCAATCCGTAGCCCCATCACAGAGACTGGAGGTTTTGTTCTTACTTCTAGCAACTCATACAATCCCAGACCCTCTCGGTCAGGGCTTCCGTTTTCCAGTTATGGTGCTGCTCCAGATGGCTTGGTCCTCAAATATCTTGATTCCAAAATGGAATTTCAGCAAAAGCAATCAACAGCTTAAAAGGCCATTCTGTTTAGAGCTTTTTCTCCCAGGCTCCTATTATGGCACAAGCATGCCCCTGTACCTGAGTAATTGCCCAATCAAGTAACT